TTGTTTTTGAATTGGATCAATAGACGTTTTCCCAGCCAGCTCGCCTTCTCGTTACAATGGTAGATGGGATGAGGGGTTAATGATCATATGTTTTTTATTGTTTTCCGTGTTCACCTTTGGGTATTTACTAACTGAAGGGCAGTTAGAGTAAACTAAACGCGTGCAAGTTGATTAAGTCGAATGCATAAAAGCAGTTGATTTACCGGTAAAGACAGTTGTTTGTCGCCTGATTGCAGACCTCACATGAATGGAAGGTATTTGCTTGTAGGCATGGCGTATTCCAGTTTGTATTCTTGCGCGTATATTAGACATTACTCACAAATTTGTACGGCATTTTCCCGATGTGGTGCTACTTTCCAAATCTGAACTGAAGTGAATGGGATCTGTGTCTGTGAAATAAAAGTATATTCAGGTCTGCAAATGGTTTCAACTTATTTCTCTGGTGAAAAGTATTTGCATGAGAGTTTCGAGATGCTCGGACCTTCACGCTCTGAGGTTTTCATTAGGATTATCAGCTTCAGGGATGTATTCAATGTATCCACTACAGTATATCCGGTTTCTTCGTTTTCATTTCTACATTTGTGTCATCCTGAAAGAAATCTGAGGGCCTAGAGGTTGCGGATAAAATGCACAATTAAGCGTAAACTTGGGTTTATGCCGAGGTGAAAACGCGTAAGCTGATATCAGCTGTGGAAAATCATTTTTCGCAGCGAGGATTCGCCTTTTGTTCGCCTCCAGGTCGGTTTTGTGATTCCAAATCATAGATAACATACCTTTTTTACAGACTGTCTGTATGTATTCATTGAGTTATCTGTTCCTCTTCCCTTCTCGTGCTTAAGGATCGAATACAACCATCCAGTTGTCAGTTAGTGATCATTGTTTAATTTAACGCACGATATGTTTATGAATGGTTTGAGGGCACAAATGTAAGCATACGCACACATGCGTATAAACATATATATATATATATATGCATGTGAAAATAGAGATTAGCACTATAAGTTCACCATTCAGTCACCATCATTACCCACACTAGAATTATAACATGGCCTCGAACGATGATTGGCCTCGAAGTGTGCTAAATGCTAAATACCGTTCCTTGCGAGAGGAATTCTTGTACAAAGGCAACCTCTGGGCTAATTGGACATCAGAAGCGATCATCCGTAGAGTGGAAGACCAGTTCCAATTTCGGTCGAATGACGTGATTATATCCAGTTATCCCAAGTCCGGCAATACTTTTCTCTCCGAGATAGTCAGCTTACTATCTGCCAGTCAAGGACAGCAGGAAAAATGGGCGAAAACGCTAGAATGGGTTAATGCATACCCTATTTACAAACGTGTTGTGTTCATCGAGGAGATATATCAACATTTGTATCCCAAATGTAGCAAAACTCAATCGGCCATGGAGTATCTGGAACGGTGGCCTGTGAGTGATCCCCATGAATGTCGCTTGATCAAAACCCACCTGCCTGCAGACAGTATTCAGTCTGCTTTCAAACGTGTGTCCCAACCACCTCAAATTATCTATGTGTATCGCAATCCGAAGGACACATGTGTTTCGATGTTTCACTTCTACAGGGGAGCCGAAGAATACGGGCCATTTGCTGGCGATTGGAATGAATTTTTCCAAATGTGGCTTGATGGCTGGATTGCTGCCGGAGATTGGCGCCGCGTTGTTCCTGAATGGCTTCGGTATGCCAAGATGAGCCGGAACTGGGAAAAAGCAATTTTATGCATTAGTTATGAATCTCTAGTACAAGAGCCCCTCCAGTGTGTGGAGCGTCTGAATCAATTGCTAAATCCAGGGTGCCCCTTAGATCCGGACGTAGGTGAGGCGATACGAAAGCATACTTCATTTGAACAAATGCGCAAGAATCCACAGACAAATTATCAAAATGTTGAGGGGTTCGTGGATGATTTCCAATTTATGCGTAAAGGTAAAGTTGGCGATTGGAAAAATTGGTTTACAGAGGATCAGAATTATGAATTTGACCGAGTATATGAGGAGTGTATAAACACAGTGAATAAACTGTTGTCTCCGAATGAATTGATTTTTGAATAATGCTAACCAACTGTCTTGTATATTTGCTTCTGAATTTATCAATTTGATTTGCTTCATAGTTGCCATCTTCGAACAGAGTGATTCAATAGTTATTTATCTGTATATTATACACATTCAGATTAAATTTGCCTTTTTCACTTCCATTTTACTTCCTTGTGTGAAACCGATCCACACAAACAGCAAGTTGGTGAAGTCCTAATTGGATGAGTGTAGACTGCAGACTATTCCTGAACCAAACCGATCGAATATATATATATATATATATATATA